TCTCAAATTACCTCCCCTCCTCCTTCTCCACATTACCCCCCCTCACTCTCACATTACCATCACCCCCCCACACCATCACCTCCCTGTCACCATCACCTCCCTGTCACCATCACCCGCCTCTCACCATCACCCGCCTCTCCTTCTTACCATCACCCCCCCATACACACAACACACTTCAAGCAGCTACCCCATACACATAGGGTCTCAGACAAAAACGCAAACATGCTCACAGGGACATACATTCACACACAAGGATACTCTCTGTCAGACACACTTTTTTGTTAATACCGCTGAGACCTCCAGACTTCCATCCCTGTGCGAGGAAACACACTAACGGCCCTATGTTCGGTAAAATAAATCCCACGAACAAGGGGATTCATACGAATACAAGCACAGCCCTTTATATTCAGTATTTTTGTGACTTTTACTCCACGAACAGAGACCGACCGCAAGGCCAAAATGAATGGAACTGATTTCGGCTACTGCCACGTGTGCGTTCGGTCAAACTAATACATCCATGTAATTCCCGAACCCCTGGTCCGATCTGGGTGATATTTGAGTATGTTGCTCACACAGATCAGGGCTACCAGAGGATGTAATATTTAGGGGTGTATCTTATGTATTTGGGGTACATCCAGAAAACGGGGAAAAGTGTGTACTGAATAATTGGATTAGCCCTGTCAGGCTGAGGGGAGGAGATGTGTGGGTTGTAACCTGTGTATGATTGGCTACTGTAAAATTGTCTGTGGGTGTCTCCCTTGCATGGGAGAGATGCATAAAAGCAGGGTATGTGGGATTAAACATCAGTTCTGCTCCTGATACTGTATCGTCCAGTTATTGGGAAAGGTGATGGGATATTCCTGGATTATTTGTTTACTACTGATGCTATTTATCCTGGGTTAACTTCATTTCCTGCATTACTATTGGAATACCAGCGGAGAAGTCTATGGGAAACTAGTGCTCCGCTACAATATATATCTATATTAATGGCCTTTTGGGACCATATTTCAGGGTGACTTATATGGGAATATTCTACCTAAATAGTGTGAAAGAATTTACTTTGATTCCAAGTTCAAGCTTATAGGTGTCATATTAGATATTCTAAATTAAAATTGACTAACTTGGACTCAGGAAATGCTTAATGCTTAGAATGACACTTAAGACCATATATGTCTAGTTCCGGGAGCAGATAGCCCCCACCTGAGCTGTCCTAAATCAATCTGTTCTTTCTCTTTCTCTGAACTTATCTGTTATATGTACATGTATATGTTATATGTATATGGTATCTGTTATAATATGTGTCTTCCCTGTGTATTATCTGTACTCCTTTCACCCTTTCACTCCCTTCCATAAGCACTTACTTTTTAATGCATAAAAACACAAGTGACAAAATAAAGGTCAGTGGCATTGTTTTGAATACCAATAGGTGTCTGGTGTCTGAATTCACGCTTCTCCAAGTGCACTTGAAATAATAATAATTTGGGCTCCCTTGAATATAACAAAGATCACATTGGATCTATATCAAGTGCATTATGTGCTTCATGTAATTACCACTTATGCAGGAATAGTTATGCATATCCTCAGGGATCACAGTTGTTTCTACTGTCATGGACTACCCTGCAGTTTTAGTGTAGTGACCAGCAGATGGCAAACATTGGGACATTGCTGTACAAACGTTGGGACATTGCTGTATATAATTAGGACTCCAATTGAGTGTTCAGGGTGAGTTGAGACCTGATGCAAGAAGTGAAAGATCCCTGCTAAGTAGAGAGAGGCCTGGGATTGAGACCTGTTTGATTCTATGGTTAGGGGAGTGCTGGAACGTATTGAGAGAGGACAGGTATAGCCAGCTCTAAATATAGAATAGTTGTAGCAGAGATTGCTGTGAACAGTGTGAAATTCTTAGCAGCAGTTAAATAAGCATGCACTCACCTTCCTAATCTGATCTGCTTGTAGACTATGAAGTGGTAAGCAAAACCTCTCCACCTGTTTCACAACAGGGCACCTTGAAACTGCTTACACTATTAAAAGACCTCTATCTCCAGTTTTACTGACCTGGGAAAGGTTTAACTCAGTAAAACCTACATTGTGAATTACAACAATTATGGGCCCCAACTATGTACACCAACTAATGGTACCCGACTGCCACAAGGGTAAAGCCTAGGGTGGGTCACAGTATTGGTGTTGAGTGGGTGTAAATTCATTGTTGCATTCTCAACTATTTTACTGCATTTAATTGTTATATCCTTGCATGGTGTTTTACTGTACAGTGCAAAGTTTTATTTTAATTAGCTCTGTGTCCATTTTCATTACTTACCTAAATATGTTCTTAATGGGACCCCGCATCCATACCTTGGATGCCCCACTGGGTGAAAGCACTGTCGCAGTTATGTACCCAACTTCCATGTAGAGGAGACTCATCATAGACCTACATAGCGCAATGAGGTAACAGGGTTAAAGGACCACAAGGGTATAGGTGGGTCTACGCATGACCATGTTACAGTTATATATAAATATATATTTGTATCAGCTAAAAACAAACATACAGTAGGTGGAGCTTAGAATATATACTTCCCTCTGTAACAATATATAAATCTGAAAAGACAAAGAAGGAGCACAGATAATGTAGATAGGTCTTATAAATCAATAGATGTATGTAATATATGTAAAATACACTCACAAAAGTAGAGCCAAAGTGACACCTGGCTCTAGTGTGTTGCACCTTAGGATTCTTAGGAAGATCCACATTCTCTTCAGTAATTCTGGTGGATAGAGGCTCTGTTAATATCCTTTTGCTGAAGACGTAGATGATTCCACCAAGGTAAATATGCACAGATTTCTTGTAAAGATAAAACATATGCAATATCACAAATAAAAGGAGAATCAAGTGCTTATAAAAAGAGAATCAAGTCCTTATAAATAGTCCAATCACCAAAACGCATTTTGTCCAATACTGGCATCCTCAGCTGGTATATGGTTTACTAACCATATACCAGCTGAGGAAGCCAGTATTGTGGCTCTACTTTTGTGAGTGTATTTTACATATATTACGTACATCTATTGATTTATAAGGCTTATCTGCACTATTTGTGCACCCTCTTTATCTTTACAGATTTATATATTGTTACAGAGGGTCATCCACCCAGCTATCCACTTGATCTAAGGGAAAACATGATTCATCAGATGAGGTAACCTTCTTCCATTGCTCCACGGTCCAGTTGTGATGCTCACATCGCCACTGAAAGTGCTTTCGGTTGTGGACAGTGGTCATAATGGGCACTCTGGACAGTCTGTGGCATTGCAACCCCCTGCACAGCAAACTGTGTGTTCTGACACATTTCTATCATGGCCAGCATTACATTTGAGGGTGAGGCTGTAACCGCGTCTGGTTCCCTTATTTACCACTATAATATCTTAAAGCATAGAACTTAGCAGGGCTAACCATACAGATATCTTAACCATAATTTTATATAGTTAGTAAGAGATCCTCTATTTAACATATATAAATAATTGAGAATACAATATAGTTACATAGCTGAAAAGAGACTTGCGTCCATCAAGTTCAGCCTTCCTCACATTTGTTTTTTGCTGTTGATCCAAAAGAAGGCAAAAAAAACTAGTTTGAAGCACAATTTTGCAACAAGCTAGGAAAAAAATTCCCTCTTGACCCCAGAATGGCAGTCAGATTTATCATTGGATCAAGCAGTTATTACCCTACATTGAAAGATTATATCCTTGAATATTCTGTTTTTGCAAGTATGCATCTAGTAGCTGTTTGAACATCTGTATGGACTCTGATAAAAACCACTTCTTCAGGCAGAGAATTCCACATCCTGATTATTCTTACAGTAAAAAACCTTTCCTTTGCCTTAGACGAAATCTTCTTATATAAAATAAGGATTGTCTTGGAAGCAATAAAGTTTTGTCTTTTTAGATATTTATTATATAAAAATATAAATATAGACATATAAAATCCATTAGAATAATTTATAGCAGAGTTTATAAGATTAAACTAAATGCTTGCAAATATCATTAATAGATTAACATGCCCTCCTGAACATATCATCATGTCAGCCTCTCTGTCATTTTAAGATGGAGCAGCATCTGTCTCCAAGTCTCTCCTCTGTTCCTTTACCTTTAAAAGTACACCTATTTATACCTTAGTTGTCTTCATTTTAGGGTCACCGTAGTTCATATATGAAAAAGTAACACTTCTTTTACTTTATTCATTTTAGGACCTCCCTTAACTTGGCAAAAATACAAGGCAATAACTAAAGGGTGTACACGTCATGGAAATTTTCCTGGCTTAGGTCAAGATGGCATCTTAAAGTCTGAACATATTTATCTACTTATGGTTACCACAGTATATTATGTACTGAAAGAGTCGTAGCGTAGCCTTGAAGCTTGTTTATGCATTATTGTTATTGTAATTCATCTGGGACAAAATGGCGTAAACATATTATGCACTGAGGGTAGGTAAGAGGTTATTGCTGAAAGAAACAGTTATGAAAAACAATATGTTCCATTTCTTACACCTTGTCAGTTTGCAATATCTCTTAAAGACAAAGTACACAGTTTGATAAATACAATATTTGCATTTGCCCATAACAAGGCAGCTATGGGACAACCTTTCCATTAAAAGGGCATGTCACTCTGAAAGCCAATCATGGCTTTCCAAAAACTGAAGGCTGCTGATGAACTTACAATTAGGAACGCTTCAACATTAAATAACTTAATTCTGATTTAGTGTTGAGGATGTTCCTTTAGATAGCAGGTGCTCCAAAACATTAAAATAAAGTTTACTTACATTTTCCACCCCATGGCAGACAGTCAGAGATGATAGTCTTGCTTCTTCACTGGCTGAAAATAGCACATGCATAGCAATTGCCACAAATGTGCCAGTTGTACACTATATGTACAAATGTGAAAAGGTACCTATGCTCTATCCATGTGGTTTTACTTTTTTCTTGGCCTTTTATTGATTTATATTATGTGTTAATAAATTGGTGTCTACATCCCACCTCCTGTTGGCATCCTCTTCTTGCTGCTTGTACGAGAACAGCGGTTACAGGGATAACAGGGAGACAACATATGGAAGTGGATTGCATCGTAAAGATATTTCTGTCTTAACCAGGCTGTGTGCATAATTTGGGCTCTAAGTGACTGGTGTCACCAATATATTTGGAATTATATGCCATTATTTTGATCTCCTCTTCTGGAATCTGGAAACTATTTTTTGTTTTTAATATATTCTGTTTCGAGGCTTTCTAGATTTATTTCTCAGTTTTATGTTACATTTGCACTATTATTTAAGTATTCCTCTACAGATAAAATTATTTATATTGCCATTATATGGCTCCACTGTTTTGAATATCTTTTAGATGGATTTTTGCTATAGTATGCTCTAACATCTTTATTGATATCACAGTTATCTGGAGACATTGTTAAACACTTTTTCATGGTTGTTATCACACCTGATTTGCACAATACCGTGTATTATTTATTTTCTTATTTCATACATGTTTTTGTACTCACAGTCAAGACTGACATTTTGGGATACATATTCTCATAACTATTATTTTAAGCGTACACCTGCAGTGTGTTGAAAAGTATTGGGACACCTGACCATTACACCAAAAGGGAATTTTATGACATCACATTCTAAATACAAGGACCTTAATATATAGTTGTTCCCCACTTTCCAGCTATAACAGCTTCCACTTTTCTGGAAGACTTTGTCACTGATGTTGGACAAGAAGGTGTTCGATGCGGTTGAGGTCAGAGCTCTGTGACGGCCAGTAAAGTTTTTCCACACCAAACTCCTCCAATCATGTCTTTATGGACCTTGATTTCTGCACTGGAGCACAGTCATGCTGGAATATAAAAGGGTCTTCCCCCAAACTGTTCCCACAAAGTTGGAAGCATAGCATAGTCCAAAATGCCTTATTATGCTGATGCATTAATATTTCCTTTCTCTGGCAGTAAGAGGCCTAGTAAAACACATGAAAAAAAGCACCATACCATTATCCTTCTCCACCAAACGTTATAGTTGGCACAATGCAGTCAGGCAGGTAATGTTCTCCTTGCATCCACCAAACCCAGACTCACCCATCAGACTGTCAAATAGAAATGCGTGATTCATCACTCCACAGAAAATGTTTCCACTGCTCCAGAGTCCAGTGGCAGAGTGCTTTACACCACTAGATCCAATGCTTGGCATTGTACTTGGTGGTATAAGGCTTGCATGAAGCTGCTCAGCTATGGAAATACATTACATGAAGCTACTGACACAGGTTCTGTGCTGATATTAATGCCAGTGGAAGTTTGGACCTCTTCAGCTATGGAATCAGCAGAGCGCTGGTGACTTTTACGCACCACGTGCCTCGTCACTTGGTAACCCCATTCTGTGACTTTATGTGGGCTTCTGCTTTGTGGCTGAGATGCTGCTGCTCCAAAATGCTTTCCAATAATTACTTACACTTGGGGAGGTGGTGGCATTCCTAAATCATTTCATAAAAGTAATGACTTCTCTGGAAATAGGCACTCTAATGAATTGGCACAAGAGGAGCCTCCTCATCACCCTTAAAGTACTTCAGCGAGCTGAGGAAGAGGGACAATCTGTCAGGTGATCGGGAGGATTGAGAAATAATTAATTACAAGCATCTATTAAAGTTTTAAGTTTTTAGTGGTATCTATAACAACAATGAGGATCAAGAACTTGACAAACAATTTTAATTTATTGATAAACAATGTAAAGACTAGCAAAGGGAGTACATATATTATTTAAAACCTCATATTACATCTTTCTTATAGGCTTCTATTTAGATGTTTTCGCTAAAAAAAAGAAACATATTGCATGGAATTATGAGGATGAAATGACAAGGTCCCATAACACTCCCTTTTTACTTGCATGTCCAGCTTACTACACAAAGATGGGCACATGATATGTTAAATGTATTGCCTAACTTTGATTACACACTATCTGAAACTGGAATATGCCAAGTGAGAATGTTGAAATGTTTTCTTTGAAGACTAAAGGTTAATATATTTATGAAGTATGCAACTAAATTGAATTATACAACATGAAACCAGTGTTGTGACTGTCCCACAGCCTAACCAGGACCTTAATGAGTTAAAGACTATATTTTCAATTACACCTATCCGCAGAAAACGAGCAGTATGAAAGGGGCACTCCAGACTGTATTGTATCCGTTATTTTGAATTTTATACATTGAAAAAGCATTAAATTATATACAAACAAGAATTAATCAAAAATATGCATTTGAAGTCCCTGCCTTCTGCAAATCTACTTGCTTTGGAGTTTCTGCAAACCAGGAAGTGACTCAACCAACCATGATGCTTACTTAACTTTCTATGTTTCTGCTGAACCTATCTTATATGAAGTATTTTGTTACCTTTGGTAGCTTTCTAATGTATAAATCATGACGTAATTTTCATCAGTATTTGTGGACCCAAAAAAGTAGAAATACAGAAACAATTGAGAAGGAGAGGCAGAAAAGGTCTTGATGAGCAAAATGTTTGTATATGTCTTCTGAACTCCTAGAGAGCCTAGATAGATAGGTGACTTTAACCTTGGAGTTATGCACAATATGTGTGGTGACCATCGTGCATAAATGCATGTAGATAACTGCTTATGTTGTCTACCAGGAAACTTGAAATTATATTATAAAAAACACAATATTGTTCTGCTGATAACAGAATACTTGATATTTAACGTTATCACTCTATCAGTCTTTTGAGGCAATACTTTGTTTTATTTGTAATACGTGATTTTGTGACATCCTTGGAAAATATCACAAGGGCAGGGTGTTTAATTTGTCTAGATTTTCTTTTTCTATTAGAAGCAATTCATAATCATTTTCCTGTATAGAGTTAAAGTTCTGGTATTCAGTGTTATCTGTAGGTGGTTCATAATGATTCATAGGTATTGAACACTGACTGGCACAAGGCTGGCATTGGTATGTAGTTGTTGTTGTGCTAGCTATGTCTTCAGCCAGTTGGCTCATACTAGGAAAGAAAAGTGAAAAAATTTGCTTAGTAAACCTCTACTTTGAACATGAATCTTGCATATACAGCATATTCTTTGTCTATTGTAAGGCTTTGCTGAAAATCACTATAATTTTAGTAATTTATTGTATGGTAATCATAATGACTTTGAGTTTGATAGTGTTTTTCACTAAAGTCTGAATGACCCCTTACAGAATGGGGCAAAACCATCGGCTATTGTACAGAGCCTTTTGGACAGCAAACTAGGTAAATTCATACAATTTGACAATGGATGGATTTAGCAGAGTAAGCTCATCATGAGCATGAATAAGGTACATATGTCAACCATACTTAAAGGAACACTCCAGACCTCTAAAGCACTTTAGCTTGCTGAAAAGCTTTATATGCCAAGAATGTGTGTCCTCTTTTTTTTCATTTTGCAAAAAAGTGCTGATTTCAATAAAAATGTACACTTTTTTTTTTTCTTTAATCAATGAACCCAGTAACACCCCCTGACTGTAAAGCTGAAAGCTGCACTGTTCCTTGCTGATTTGTTTAGCTCAGTGGAGCTAAAGTAAAGAGTCAGCAATTACCCAGAGCACCTGCTTTGCAAAGACTTCTCATTGAGCTGCATTGGTAGTCTGTGATTGGACATTCACAGAAAGTGTGGTAAGGATTTGAAGGGGAGGATTTGCAAAGCCAGCAGAATATATATATATATATATATATATATAACCCCAGTGAAAAAAATGCATAACTAAATGCATGCAAACTTTCATTTGGGGTACATCTAACAAAAGATTATTTATTTTGTATTTGGGCAACGCAATGTCCCTTTAAAGCTGCCAGGCCAAGATTTAAAAAAATAATAATTGGCAGTGTCAGCAGTCAGTGGACAAACAGTTAGAAAAGCCTTGGCAGTGTAAGAGTTAACCAGAAGGCATCAGGCCAATGAAAATCTAATAAAAATAAAGCCTATGAAGTTCTATATGACCCCAATATTAGTATAAGGGAGGTTTTAAATCTCCCTTATACCCCAACCTGCCATATTGCTAGAAAGGTCCCTTCCTTTACTGATAGCACATGTTAAAGGAACACAAATATATATTCCTAACGCTATACAGTCCTAGTCACCGTTTAGGTGACTATCGCCCTGTTCCGTGGCGAATAAATGGTTAATTAACAATTTATTTGCTTACCATAATCCAGCGCCGGGCTCCCTCAGCACTGGTTACCTCTCCTCCTCCATCGACGTCAGCTTCCATGTGGAGCCGAATGCGCATGCGCGGCCATAGGAGAGCGTGCATTAAAAATCGCCCATAGGTAAACATTACTCAATGCTTTCATATGCGGATCTTTTTTGACGCTGGACTCCATGAGGACGTCCAGCATCAAATAAGTGCGTGTAAATCGCGGAAGCGGCCTCTAGTGGTTGTCAGGGAGACAGCCACTAGAGGCTGGATAAACCCTCAGTGTAAACATAGCAGTTTCTCTGAAACTGCTATGTATTCAGCTGCAGGGTTACAACTAGGGGGACCCAGGCTACTTCATTGAGCTGAAGTGATCTGGGTGCCTATAGTGGTCCTTTACATAACAAAGGGAACATAGAACACCTATGGGCATCTAAATTAAATAATGGGGGGTGGACAGGTTAGACAGGAGGGTGGCAGATCCCCCCACATGTGGTCAGCAGGTGGGTGCCATTTCTTTAAATAAATGGGAGGAGCTAATCTCCCCCCAAGCCCAACTCAATGGCATTGGGTGGCAGGAGGGGGCTATTATTTTAATAATCAAGAGGAGACATATTATCCTCTCAGCCCCCACCCATGGGTGATGAGTGGTAGATGCTGATAAAATATAAGATGGGTGGCAATAGCGGCAGCTAGTTCTGCTGCTTGAATAATTATTTGACCATTCTGCCGATAGAATTAAAATAACCCCTAAATGTGTTAATTCGATAACGATAGCTATATAGCATCCAGAGAAATAGAGACTAATAAATGTAATT